TTAAAATATAAATCATAATCAGTTGCTTCTTTACTTAAAAATAGTCCTACGGTGTCCCAACATACCTAGAATGAGACTCACCCTCCTTACTGTGGGTTGCAAAAATCTACTTGGTCAAGTTATGCCTAGGACTCCAGCTCTTACCACTGCCTCTCCCCACCATGCGCTGGCCACAGAAGCATGCTGTCGGGTCTGCAAACAGCACTGTGGTTGTACACTCACCAGTCAGGGTTTTTTCTAACAAGAAGACCACATACTGGATGACCTCAGTGACGCACACTTGTCCCTACAGTTCAGAAGGCATGGCAGTCCCATATCAAGGGCCAACAGTTTCGGAGTTTGCAAACAGATGCTTTCTGGGTGTATCCACCATATGGGTGAGGGGTGGACAGAAATGGGGAGACAGGCAGGGACAAAGAGCTCTAGCCCCTCTTCCTAGAGGGGACTAATCACAGCCATCAGCCCTCCACTTCTATCATCCGATTGTCCTCTAGAGGGCTCATGGTCACGCAGCACACCCCACAGGTGGTGACTTCATCACGGGAATTCCAGGGGTCACAAACCTCAGGGCAGTGTTCTTCACAGCCATTTCCCTTTCTGTCTAGATCTCTTCTTCTTTCTCTGGAGAGCCCTAGAACTTCAAATTTCTTTTCCACAAGGTGTCTTTTTTTCTTTTCAGTAGGGACTCGGACTCTTGGTGCATGATGAGAATGAGGAAAAGAGAGATGAGAGACAATAGCTGGGTCACGTGGAGGTCCTCTCTGGCCCGTTAGGAGGAGAAGAACCTGCCCAAGAACTGTACATCATTTATTTCTAGCCCCAGACGTTGATGTCCATTTCAGCCTCTCTATCCAGGCAGTCGCTTAGTAAGCTGCAGTGGCTTGTTTACATGCTTCCAGGAGCTCCCTGGTCCTGGGTGGCTTCCTCCAGCAGGCATAATTACTTGACAGCTTCAGCCACTCCCAACACTTTTCTCCCCCTCTTTATTTTTGTACTGGGAATGGAACCCAGGGCCTTTGCACTGAGTTACAATTGATTTTTTTGAGACAGGCGTCTAATGGCCCGGATTTTCTTAAACTTATGATTCTCCTGCTTCGTACTTCCAGGTACTAGGGTGAGAGTCGTGCGCCACCGCGCTCAGCTTCCCAAGGTCTCCTTTCCTGCTTTGCATCTCACTCCTTAGGAAGTGCAGCCACCCTCTGCTTCTTCTCCGTGGCACCCGTCTGGCTCTGAGGTCTTCCCGCCATATGAGGGCATTTGTTTGCTGACAGCTTTCCCCTGGTGGCCTACGGGTCTGCTGGGAGGACTTACAAGGTTTGCTCCGCCAGAGCCCACAGCAGGGCCTGAGACCAGATAGGCAAGAGCTGGGCTTTCCCAGGAAGATACTGTGAAGGCCGAGCACATTGAACTGAAGAGTTTCCTCGGGTTTCACAGAAATATCTCAGTAACACCACAGACAACAGCAGCCAGCTCCTGCCTCTGCTTACACCTGCTCCCCTCCCTAGCTGCCCCCGCCCCCTAGACAGCTCCTGCATCCACGCACCGGTACTGGAGAACAAACCCGCGGTCCAGACAGGTTCCTCTGCAATGCCTCAACTCTGACGGTTTGGGCGAAGTACCTCATTGGGATCACAAAAGCTTGAGGCCTCAATAAACATTCCCATGGCTCCACCATAACACCCAGGGCGCGTGCCCGGCACCGCTTCCTTGGAGAACTCAGGGCAGGCACCCGCCCAGTCCCCCGGCCGGATCAGCACCTTTGCTCCGGGCCTTGCAGGCAGCAGGCCCGGCTGCCGACCGCGGTGGCGCTAGGTGGCGCTCGTCCCCTACTGTACCCGGGCTCGCAGCCCGCGCCTTTCCCTGTTGGCCCAGGAGTGGGGACGCCAAGCTCGCTGGAAAGCTGAACTCCAAAGGGCAGCGTCTTCCCCGAGGTCGCTCCCTCCAGCTCAGACTCTTGAGCAGCGCTTGCTCTCTGAGCCCACCCAGACTCCCTCTCCGCGCCGATTCCCTCTCCGCAGGGTTTAGTTGGTTGCTGATCAGGACAACGCTCGGGCTCCTTCTCCCGCGCAAGGCTCAGCTCCTTGCAGACGCAAGGACGAGGACTAATCCTGAGCGGTGCCCGCTCGGGTTTGCGTCTTGTTTCCTTAAATGAGGACGGAGCTCTCTGGTGAATTGCGAGTCTTTAGGGTCCTTCAGCTTAGTGAGAAGCGCTGCTTAAGGGGAAAGTCAGCCCGGCTGGACTCGAATCGTGCGGTGGCCGCCTCAGTGGGAGGTCACGGTCACCAGTCGCAGCACCCGGGTCTGTGGAGTGGGGCGAACAGTCACTCTTTGCGGTCATCGCACTCCGCGGGGCGTCGTTGAGATGAAGCCGCCTGCACCGCGTGGGGCGATGTTTGCGTGGGAAGCCGGTGAGGCCCGGGGCGGAGGGAACCCGACGATCCGCGGACGGCAGCCCTCGGCGGGGACCTCGGGGCGCTGCGGCACCGCATTTGACCGCGGCTTTCGGAACGCGGAGCCGACAGCTGACTCAAGCGGGGTGCGCAGAGGGAACAATGGCCTCGGGCCGGGGCCGTGGGGGACCCCAGGGCGACTGGGGCGCCGAGAGCGAGGAGGACGCAGGCGGGTTCGGGGAGTGGGCGCCCCGGGCCGGGGCGGGGGTGGGGCTACGGCAGCGGACGCCGAGCAAGGGCATCGGACCTGGCCCTCTCCGAGACCCCGTCCGGCCTGGGCTCGGTGCTCACTCGCGGCTCCGCACCGCCTCTTGTGTCCGCCCCAGCCCTGTGCGGGAGCAGCTCCCGGAGTGGCTCAAGACCGACGTGCGCAGCCCCGGGTGCCCTCGCAGACCCGACCCACCCGGCCGGGGCCAGGAGGACGTCCCGCCGCCGCCGCGGCCTCCGGGGCAGGAGCAGTGCAGCCGCTCCGCAGGGCTCCCGACGCTCGCGGGGACCTGGGACCAGCCAGGACCGCCCCGGCCGCGTCTTCACATTGCTTTGAAAACTCCTACCCAAACCCGTGGAGACTCTCTTTGGAGTTTCTTTATTAAAAGACATTTTTTTTCTGGTCCACTACAGTTATTTTCAAGTATAATACAGCTCCCAAACTTCCTCTAGGACTTGATCAGGTAACCCCCAAATATCTTACCTCCCAAAGTTTCTCTATTATTTGCCCAACTAAGTCCTAACCCCACAAAACTGTTCGCTGTAAAACACCTGCTCGCTGCCGGGTCTACACCTTACCTACGGTCGCTGTCAGCCTCGTCCCCCACCCACCCCGGGGAATAGCGGCGATGACAGATACCCAACGCCCCCGCCTGGCGTGGAGAGCCGGAGGCGATTTTATAAATCAGGAGAAGGTCGGGGAGGGGAGGCCTTCCTTGAAAGCTGACAGCAATCCCTTCCGTTCCTCTCCTGGCCTGCAGAGCGGGCCCGGGCCTTCGCCTTGCGCGGCACGGAACTGCAACGCCTTTCCCCGCAGACTGCTCGAGGGCAGGAGCTAAGGAGGCGAGCACCTCTTCGAGTCGGACACCGCCCCGAGGTCCCTGCGGGGTCTGCACAGCGCAGGGAACGCCGCGTGGCCGAGGCCCAAACTCTACTTGTGTCCTCCCGAGGTGCAGAAAACAAAAGGCAACGAGCAGGGGAGGGAGGATTACCAGTGTTAAAGACACCGAAGACAGCAGACGCTGCTTCGTGTTAAATTAAAATCGCGGTTCTTCGCCTTCGTGCAGCGGTCCAAGTCCGTGCAGCTCGTGCTGCCAAGTCTTTGGTAAAAATTATCGAAGGTGCTCACACACATTACACGAACAAACTTTTTTATTTAAAAATAATAACATAAGTAAGCAGCACATGTTGGCATGCCTCCAATATTTGTGTTTTTTTAAGAAGCTTTTTCTATTAGATAAAACTTTGAGCTTTTTACTTGTAAGGAGCACTAAATGCCATTGTTGGGTCATTGCTGTGGTTACCTCCCGGATTTTCTTGTAAACAAATGCATACACGTCCTAGCCACTTACAAGTGACGAAACACTTAACAAATTAAAGGGTTTTTTTTCCTTCTTCTTGGTGCAAATCTTTAATAAACTCAGTGAAAGTCAGTACTGACCGCCCAGCAAAAGGACTGCGCCACCGGAAACTCCCAAAGGCGCCTTTCAATTCCTCCTCACACTTGTGTTAACTGTGACAAATTTTAATTTCTCTCTAGAAAGAGAAGCAAATCAAAGAGAGCGAGGCAAGAAAACTATTTCTGGTGTGGTTTCCAGGACGTGGTTACTCCTGCCGAGGGAATTAGCAGTGGGGCAGCAGGGAAATGTTGGTGACTGAGGAGCCCTTTGCTGTCCTCGGACTTCGGGATTCTTCCTACCGGCCAGAAACCGCGCGCGGCGCTGCGTTGCCCGGGGTTTCCGTGCAAGCTGCCGGCGCTCCGGATCCGCGCTCTGTGCGAGCGCCCGGACGCGCGGTCTCCAGGCGAGCATCCTCCCTGACGAGGGGGCTTCGAGGACCAGGCTCAGGGGCGAAGGGGTTAAGCAAGCCCTGGTCCGCGGCCGCTCTACTCGCCCAGTTTTGTCTCTTAAAATCAACGTCCGGGGGCCGGGGCCAGCCAATCAGAGGCCCGCAGCGCCCCGAACGGCCTGCGGGGCGTGGCCTACTGAGGGGGCGTGGCCTGTGACTGTCAGTCAGGGTGAGGAATGACACCGGCGGGGATGGGGGGGCGGTGGAGCGCAGGCAGAGGAAAGAGAAGAAACAGATAAATCCGGGCGCGGGGCACGGCGGAGCCCCGCTGCTCTCCAGTCCGGCTGCGGCGCAGCCGGGGCGGGGATCCGCAGAGCCCGCCCGGCGGGTCAGGGGGCGGCAGGAGCCAGGGCGGAGGGCTCGGCGCCGAGGTCCCGGCCCAACTCCGCGCCCCGAGAGCGATGCGGTAGCCCGGCGGAGTGCGCGGTGCCGGGAGGGGTCGCAGCGGGCGGCGCTCGAGGGGCTGCGGGGCCGGCGGCTCCGGCCGCGGCGCAGATGGCCGTGCGCGGCGCCGGCGCCCTGACGCCCTTCTCCATCCAGGCGATCCTCCACGGGAAGGAGAGCGCCGGCCGGGCCGTGCCCGGGGGGCGCCCGGGGCCGGGGGGCACCGCGCTGGCTGTGGCAGCGGCTCCCGCGGTCTGCTGCTGGCGGCTCTTCGGGGAGGCGGACGCAGCCTCGCTGGGGGGAGCCGAGGACGCGCTGCTGGCGCCTTCAGCCGGGACCAGGACGGCGGCGGGGCGCGCGGCAGGGAGCCCGGGCGGCTGGGACTCCGACTCGGCGCTCAGCGAGGACAACGAGGGCCGGCGGCGCTGCGCGGACGCCCCGGGGGCAGGCGCGGTCCTGGGCCTCGACCCGCGCGCCTGCGAGCTGCACGCAGCCAAGGATCTGGAGGAGGAGGCCGCGGGCCGCAGCGACAGCGAGATGTCAGCCAGCGTCTCAGGTACGCACGAGCTTCGCGGGAGGGGCGGGACGGGTGCGCCGACCCAGAGGGTACCCGCGTGGGGCCCCGCTACGGGCACCCCTAGTCCAGGCCCAAAGCTCTGGCCCCTGGAGGGGGCTGCTCATCCCCGAAGAACCAGGCCGCGCAGGACCGAGGGGCTCTTCAGTGCGGTCCTCGGGACGTCCCGGACGGCTCCGGCTGGAACCGCCGCGAGCGGCTTGGCTCAGCACCGGGGACCCACCAGATCCGCCCTCGTCCTCCCAAACTGAAAGAGGTGTCCAGAGGCCTCAGTTGGACGGCGATTCTGCCTGGGCCCAGACACCTTAAGGACTTGGGGGGCCCCCGACACCCACCAGCGCACCTTAGACTGAGCCCGCGCTGAGGAGCGGCAGGGCTGCGGGTCTGGAGACAGGACTGGTCCCCTTGTCCCCAGGGCTGAGGACCCTGAGCAGGAGCGGGGAGGCCCGACTCAGCTCCTCCCGGTGGGACCCAGGAGAGGGGCCACCTCAGCCCCAAGCGGCACAATTCTTAGTAGGAAGACCTGTTGCGTACCTCTCCCCTTCGGGTTTGCAGGCTGTTGTAGGCCTCAGGCTACCGCAGAGCGGGGCCCTCTGTCCCGTAGGGCCGTGCGGAAGAGGGGGGAGTGGGAGAATGGGGGAGTGCGGAGGAGTCGCCGTCTGAGCAGGGACGCCCTCATCTCCCGCCCGTGCCTCCTGCCCCTCCCTTGCCAGGTGTAGCCTTCCAGGCCTCACCGGCTATCCCTGGGTTGGAGAAGAATCTCAGGCTCCATCTTCCTCTGCCTCCACGACCTGTCCGCCCACCCTCAAGAGCGCTAAGTTGTCTGTGCTGAGACAAAGACTTACGCGTGTCACCCGGGAGTCGGGTAAACCCGCTCAGGGAGACAGAATTGCAGGCTAAGGCGCAGCGCGGAGGGCAGAGAGCGTGGAGGATGCTCAGGTTCACAACCCCGCGCCCCAAACGAGCCCCGGAGCCCAGAGCGCGCAGGGGGCGCGTCCTGCACCGCGCGGCCCTGGCACAGGGGTTGGGTCCATGGCCTGCGAGGGACGAGGCCTAGATGCGCAAGGGCGGAGAAGAGGGCCTCTCTGCCGCTGCTCTGGGAGCGGAGTGCATTTCCCGCTCAGTCTGCCCGAGGGGCCCGTGCAGCTGAAAGCCAGCCTCAGGCTCGCGCTTCTGACAGTGCCTTGTTTTTGTCCCCTCGGGGGTCCGCAGGCGACCGCAGCCCGAGAGCCGAGGACGACGGTGTGGGCCCGGGAGGTGCACCCGCGCCGGGGCTGTGCGGAGGGGCCGGCGGCGGAGCGGCGGTCGCCGCGGAGCAGGAGGAGGAGGAGCCCGCAGCTCCAAAGCCGCGAAAGAAGCGCTCGCGGGCCGCCTTTTCGCACGCTCAGGTCTTCGAGCTGGAGCGCCGGTTCAATCACCAGCGCTACCTGTCCGGGCCGGAACGCGCAGATCTGGCGGCCTCGCTGAAGCTCACCGAGACGCAGGTGAAGATCTGGTTCCAGAACCGACGCTACAAGACCAAGCGCCGGCAGATGGCCGCAGACCTGCTGGCGTCGGCGCCCGCGGCCAAGAAAGTGGCGGTGAAGGTACTGGTACGCGATGACCAGAGACAATACCTCCCCGGCGAGGTGCTGCGGCCTCCGTCGCTGCTGCCGCTACAGCCGTCCTACTACTACCCTTACTACTGCCTCCCGGGCTGGGCGCTCTCCACCTGCGCGGCCGCCGCGGGCACCCAGTGAGCGGCTGCGGGGAGGCAGCGAGGTTCCGGCGTCCGCTCTAAGCCGGGGCACCCTAGGAGGGGACACGCGGAGAACGGAACCCAGCCCCGGCTGGCTCTCGCTTGGCACCGTGAGACCTGGTGGCCAAGCAGACTGCGTAGAGGCGCCTTTCTCTAATTGGGGAGGAGGCTCTCTGTGGCCCAAGGGCCCTGCTCGCCCCCCCACCTGCCTGCCAGCCGCTGGACACTATTTATTACCACGACAATGTAGGGTTTGGATTTGGATTGCGTCTGTCTGGGGACGGTGTTTTCCCCAGGGCGCTGAGGACTCCCGGAGACCATAGAGCCTGAAAGTTCCCAGAATTTCGGGCCTGCCGGGAGCTTCGTGCTTTAGGCCACACTAGTTCATGGTATCCATGCTACCGATCTATGTGTATCTACATATCGTTTATTTTTGAAAATTGCATTTGTGACAAAGGAGTGCGCAACCCTGGCAGCCCCAGGCCAGGGGTTGATTGGAACCAAGAAGAAAGGGTTTGGTAATGGAACCTCAGCCCCACCCCTCCCTGGGGTTAGAGCTCCGGAGTGGCGCCCTGTCCGGTGCTGAATGTAAAGACCAGAGCTGGACAGCAGGAGCAGGCCAGGGACCTCCGCACCCTCCCTGGGCGAAATCCAAAACTGCGCCCTAAGGGGGATATCTGGGAGCCCCGAAAGAGGAGTGCACACCCGAATGGCTCTTCGCAGAAATTTGCTTCCTTTCTTTTATTTTTCAAAGGAGGTTCAGACTTGTAGCACTTTGCAGTTGTTTGTATTCAAATAACGGTTACTTTTGTGTTCAATGTGAAGATCCCTGGCCAGCCTTTCCACTTTGCCGCAGTCCTGCGCGGGCCCTCTGCTCCCACGATGCGCCCACCTTGCACTGGCCTGGGCCTCCCCACCCCTTCACCTGCTCCAAGACGGGGGACCCCGCCTGTGTGTCAACCTCGCAGCTTTTCGTCTCCTTAAGGGCACTGTGCACTCAACTAGAGTATTATCTTTAAAAAGATTTGTGAAGTTTGGAAGCTCTATTCGCTGTATTTTTTTTTCTTTAATTTATAAACTTTTAGTTTAACCTGCAGTCCTGGACGCCGTGTATTTTCTGAAACTGTCGATGCGGTTTTGTATTTTTTTTGTGGGGGGACCATGAATGAGTGCTGGAAGGAGCCAGGCTTCTGCCCCCTCCCCCTTCTGCTCCATCAAGGACCTCTCCTCCCGTCTCCCGCCGCCCATGCCCCAAGAAGGGTCTTCAGGGGTTTTCGAAGGATCGCGGGTGAATCCACCGAATCCGGAGCAAATTCCTAGAATTCTTTGTTTTCTAAGGCGCCCAGAGTTGTGCCCACAGCCAATTTGCAACCCCTGCCCTAAACTGCGGACCCTTTCACGTCATCTCTCGCAGACTTTTAGTTTTCGTAGCCTTTCCCATAGGGTCTTTTTTTCCTTCCCGGGTGGGCTGGTACCAACTTTCGCTGAAATTCTGACGCATTTAGGAGCAAACAGTTGCGAACAGCGTATCTCCAGCGCGGGTCCCCTGCCATTTCAAACCTGCTGAATCCAAAGGCGCTTTTGCTCCTATAGAGACAGGGCCTCCTGACCAGATCCGAAGCCCGGATGACAGCAGATGGAAGGGGCGTGATTTCCTATTATCCCATTTTACAGATTAACGCCCGGGGTTGATGTTACAGGTCTCAACAATACCCCAGATCTGCCGGGTCACTGGCGCTCAAGAAAAGTTATTCCACAGGGCAGGCACCACGGCCTTAGTCGCGCGAGGCCGGAAACTATGAAACTCAGGCCGGGGCTTCTTTCAGTTTCACCTGGAGAGCGAAAGTCTATTTTGGAGACTCCCGGGCCCCAGCCTTCCGCGGCTCCTTCTCCAGACCTGGGGATTAATCATAAAAGCCTTGGCTAGGAGGCCCGCAACTCCGCAACTCCGGCGGCAGCGTGGCGACTAGTGCAAAAAGGATCCTCACTTCGGGAAACTGAAATGACAAGGGAAACTGCTTGGGTACGAACGCCCCAATCCCACCCCATCCAGCTATCTCCCCTAGGAGTCCCACATTTTCTTTTAAAACTGCTTTCGTGTTCGATTTTAATTTTCAAGTTGATCACAAATGTATTCTCCGTTCTGATAATGTTACAATCGCCCGGCTTCCTCTGCCCGGAGAGCGTCAATGCCAGAGAGGTTTTGGAAAGGGGAGGGGGTGCTGATGAGAGTGGGAGAGTTCTTGGAAAGGGGGTTCCCTGCTGAGAGTGGAACCCTATCGTTGCTGTGTCAGATAGGGTAGTTTGTTCTCCACCCTTGTGGAGGTGGAGGCAGAAGAACCCTGAAGTTTCTTGTGAGTAGGAAAGGGATGGGAGGTCAGGAGTGTGTCCCTGGGGCAGCGTAGTCTCTTGCCAAAGACCTCTCCTTTTCTCCGGACCTACAGTGGGGAGCCCTACTCAGGGGGCCCCGCCTGGCCCAGCTCTTCCGGGGACTCAGTGCTGCCAGGAAGGATGGCTCACAAGAATTCAATGCGATCTTGAGTGTGATCCTGTCCCCTTCCTGCCCAGAGCACCTGGGGGTCTGATTTCCTGGGGTAGAGGCATCTTCTGGCTTCTCCTCTGCCTGTGAGGAATTCCCACCGGTCCTGCGCTGTTCACGCGGCTAATGTGGAAATTCACGGTATTATTTGCTTCATTTTCTTATTTCCTTTTCCTTCTCCACTACCAACTCTCCCTTCCCGCTTTTCATTTTCTGTTTGCTTGTTTTGTTTTGTTTTGTTTTGTTTTGACAAGATGCATTCCTGGGAAAAAGGTTCACCTATCACCACCAGCTGTGTGGCCTCCCATGAGCTCCCACGCAGCTTGAACCCCATGCCCTTCACTCTCCTCGTCCTCTTGTCCTTTCTGTCTTTGGTGAATGTGAGAGCTAGCCTTCTTTTCCGCCCAGCCACTTTGCAGACTGGTAAACCAAGGCAAGAGGACTAGCTGGGCTAGGGAGCAGCAGGCACTGTGGCTAGATGGAAATGGATACCAGGGACTAAGGCTGAGTCTATAATCTTGCGCTGGGAAGTGAAGTTTGGATCAGTTGGCTGCCAAATGTCCATAGCGGGGTGTGTGTGTGTGTGTGTGTGTGTGTGTGTGTGTGTGTGACACTTGGGCCTTCTGGCCTTGCTTATCTTAAGCTGTGTCCAGTTCCAAAAGCCTATATTTGCGGGTCTCTCAGCTCCCTGGACAATATCTCAGCTGTGTGGGAACCAAGCAAGGGGAATTAAAGCTGGGTTCCATTTCTAAAATGAAGTGACTGACTTCAGGAATGTCAGCATCCTTACCGCTTTCGCGCATTAGGAAAGGGGAGCGTTGTGCCAAGTCTGACTGCACTGGAGAGCGCCTACAATTATCTCAGACATCGTCCCCATGTGTTGGAGTCATAAGTGACTTGGTAGCATTAGCATCCAGAACCTATAGAGACTGGGCAGAAGCATGGGGCTAGGAGTGGAGGGTGTCCTAGAGTTCTGCTCCTGGTTCCTGGTTCCCTGCCCTCCACAGAGGGATGGAAGCTTGGGAGTAGAGCCTTGGGTATGGACAAAGATGGCCAAGTATTCACTGGAGTGGAATCCTTTCCAGGCCTTCGGCTGTCTCAAGACAGAAGTCCTGCAGATCTGAGTGCCAGCTGGCCATCTCAGCTTGGTGCCCCTGGGCCAGGCAGACAACCCGCTTCCCTGACCCAAGTTTCAGGACTTTCAGGAGGAAAATATAGAATCTGGCTTCTGCCGCAAAACTCTGAAAATCCAGTACATTTAAAGAAAAGTTCTTGCTTTGCCAGAGGAAAAGCCAGGGCCTCCAACCATGAGATACAGGTGGAATCTGATGTTGCCCTAAGTCAGGAGACTCCTGGAGGAGGTCTGGCCTCCAATGGACAATGAGGGCATGAATACAGTGCTCTAGGGGATGAGAAATTTACGGGAACAGGGCTCCAACTGCTAACCAGGGGTTTGCAGGCTTAACCCTTTAAAGCCACCAGCCTCATGGGTCTTAATTGGGAGTGGTACAGAGCTGCCTGAGGACTGCAGTAGACAGCAAATTCTTCAAAGCACTTGGTGTGTCAAAAAGGATTCAGAACGGTGACAGCAATGGTTGTTGGACCTGCTCAAAGCTTTTACTGCTGCAGAAGCCACTCTGACAGAAGCAATAGCAGAGGCTCTTCATTGGAGGGAGGTTCAGGGGAACAACCAAAACATATTTAGTAGGAATGGCAGCAACACCAAAGCAACACTACATCTGCTGGTCTGAGGCACTGCAGGGGAAAGAACACCCATAAGTCCTGTCCTGCCCTCAGGGTCACTGCAGCTGCCGGTAGCCTGATGCGACTTCCCTCTTAGGGAAAGGGAAAGTAAGGCTCAAAGGGACAGTGTGATTTTTCCATCATCACAGGGACAAGAGGTGAAGTCAGGGCACCCAAAGCCCAGAGGTACATTTATGCTTTGAGGTGGGTGAGTGCTTCAGTGCCTGCACCTTACAGGTTTGGCTTCAGCGTGGTTGGATCACAGGGTGGATGGACGTTGAAAATTATTAAGCACTGTACAATTGATATGGTCTCATTGTTATGGGCATTATTGTTATTAGGAACTTCTGGGCAGGGTCGAATTCCTGCATCCTTCAGGGATTTACAGGTGCCCAGTGGTCTGCTCAGCTTAGGAACTGGCAAAGGTCTGGAGACCCCTGCACAATCTATCTTTCTTTTTTTCTTTCTTTCTTTCTCTGTCTGGCTGTCTGGCTGTCTGTCTGTCTCCTGGTATAAATGTTTTTAAAATTTTTAAAATGCCAAAGCAGAAATGCAAAAACTGTGCTATAATGTAAATGATTACATCATCTAATAAATTGACTTCTTCCCCTGTACTTGCACATAAGAGTTATTCAACATAAATTGGCTCGTTCAATTATGAAGGCACTTATAAGCCAGGATTGATCCTCAGGTCCCTCAAAGCAGGGCGGGTGGATGTG